TGGTCCCTGCGGAAGAAAGGAAAAAGAATTTCACGTTCTTCCTTTCGCTTTCGGGAAGGGAGGATTAAGAAAATCCTATTGATTGGAGCTTTCTCCAGACCTCCATCCACTGAGTGCCAATGCCGAAGGCGTAGTGGCATTTCCTTCGGTTACTGCATTTTTGCAGGGTGAGTGAGGAAAAAACTTATTACTAATTCGGTTCGTCTCGACTTCATTCAAGAACAAACACCCTGGAATCCATAAGAAAACAAGTGCTATCAGATCAGTGAATAAACCCAAACGCAGTGAATAAACCCAAACGCAAAGAAGACGTCATTCCTTGTTGCTCGAATCAGTTTCCCCGGAAAGCTCAAAAAAGAGAATGAGTGCACGGATGTAACGCAATACGTATTATGAAAGGTAGGTATAGTTTCAGGGTTGGTTGTTGCATAAAGCCTCGATAAAGTCTCTTACAGAGAGTCAGTCGTCTTAATCCCTGGATCAAAAGAGCTGTCATTCGCCGAAGCCAAATCCGCCAAATGGTAAAAGAAAAAGATTCTTCCAATCAATACGGCAGGTCAGTAAGTAAGTCATACTAGGAAGAATTAGCACCATGTAAGACCACCCTTATGGGCAGCTTTACATAATCTCAATACATAAAACAGCCAAATTACTCCTAACATTCAGTCCCTTGTTGCAGCTGATAGACTCAAAAGGAAAGGGAAAAGAAAACCCCTTCTCTGTGGCTACCTACTGGAGCTTCGACCAACTACCATCGGTCAATTCTGCTTTGGGGCCTAAGTGTAAGATGAATGAAAGAGTGAAAGGTTCCCCTGCCATAATGTGTGTGATGTGCTTCCAGTGCCAATCAAAAGTAACCCATCCAACCAATGGTATTTAATTAACAGCCCATATTGACTATCATGAGGTCTTTTCTTGTAGCTGGTCCATTCATAAGTTTTTCCTCGATTCAGCTTTCCATGAATTGCTGAAGTTCAGGAAAGAATAACTAACTAACTCACAAGAACAAGAATTAAGGAGATCAGAGTGGAGTAGGTGAGTTAGTCCTCACTGCCCTGAGCGATTTCGATCACCTAGCAGGCCTTTGATTTGGTAGGTAACATCGCCCGTATTATCTGATTTGACTACGAAGGAAGGCACTCGAAGTGGTCCAATACGTTGTTGTATCCCGGTCCAAGTCACAAAAAAAGGTTCTTCCTTTCCGCAATCCTCTCTGGAAGCCAACTCAAATACATGGCCCTAGTATTTACTAGAGCAAGAATGTACTGAAGCTGAAACTCCGCTATCAGCGACCTTTGGAGGATAGCTCCTTGATTAGTCGATCGCTTGCGCCCTGCTCAGTTAGCCGCATCAGTCAAATCAACTAAAAGGGATCATTTCTCAGGGAGGAGGAGATAAGGTAAAGAGTTCAAGAAGGGAGAGTGCTTTCTTTACCTACTTCATTCAATAAAGGAATAAAGGGGAATGAGCTCGCGACCAGCTACTGATCATCGCCTTGGTAAGCTATTGCCTCACCAACTAGCTAATCAGACGCGAGCCCCTCCTCGGGCGGATTCCTCCTTTTGCTCCTCAGCGTACGGGGTATTAGCAGCCGTTTCCAGCTGGCCCACTTGGAGACTTGGGATCTCAGCAGGAAATGCGAAGGTTGCAACAATGAAAGCCGGCCGGCAAGTCATCTTCTACCTCTGACTAAGTTGCAGTCTAATAGTCAGTCAAAGTCTTCGTGAAATCCGTTGGTAGACTTGCTGGGGGTTTTTGGTGACATAGATCCAGAGGTATGTGCTTGCAGTCGGCTGATAGAGCACTGCATCAATCAAACTCAAGTCAAAGGGCGTCGGTGTAGTCCCGCAGCTTCCGCCTTGACAGGGCGGTGCTCTGACCAATTGAACTACAATCCGGCCTACAGGAGTGCCAATCAACCGAGCCGCCAGGTTTGAGAATAAGGTGGGATCCCTGGATCTAGTGGGTTCTGGAATTCCGAGGGGGTTTCGGTTCGAAGGTTAGAAAATGTATGTGGTGCGGGTTAATCTCTCTCGACCAGTTCAGGTGAAAGGGAAGGGTGATCGAGCGAGAGTCCAGTAGCCGAAAGCATCACTAGCTTACGCTCTGACCCGAGTAGCATGGGGCACGTGGAATCCCGTGTGAATCAGCAAGGACCACCTTGCAAGGCTAAATACTCCTGGGTGACCGAGGTAACCAACCTTTGAAGGAGCGAAGCAAACAATGAGACATACGGAAGAGGGAGAGGAGTGAAATCAGAGACTAGAAATACCTTTTCTTCGATAAAGGAAGAGATTACTCGATCTATTTCCGTATCACTCATGATATATATAATAACTTGGGCACCCGTTTCAAATGCATATCCCATTTTTGCACAGCAGGGTTATGAAAATCCACGAGAAGCAACCGGCCGTATTGTCTGCGCCAACTGCCACCGGAAAAGAACGGGAACTAACTGGGTTGATCTATTCTATGGCGAAGCATCCGAAGCATAACTGCACACTCACACGATCTTTGACAGAGATAGGAGCATTCGGTGGAACCGGTGAACTACACTTGCTTCTGGATAGATGTGTGGGAGCGGGACTGATTTGGGAAAAAGAACTTGAATAACAGAGTTTTTCTGAAGGAGTCGTCATTTTCGATCAGGAACGCTATGTCATTTACAACTCCGGCATATTTCGGATGCTTGAAGGCCCCGCTGACGCGAAGTGATTTAGAAAGATTCTTCTTTCTCGATGGTGATCGGTCATGGTATCCATAGTCTTGCTTCTTTTTCGGCCAAATCCTAATTTCGTTTTGCTTTTCCCGGTCGTCGTTTTCGCGGGCAAATACAGACCTTTTTATGCACATCCCTTTAGTAGTTCCCTTAGTAGTTCCCTTAGTAGTTCTCTTAGCAGTTCCCTCCAAATAGTAGTTCCCTTAGTAGTTCCCTTAGTAGTTCTCTTAGCAGTTCCCTCCAAATAGTAGTTCCCTTAGTAGTTCCCTACAAACCCCCTGTCTTCCGCCTACCCTTGCCTCCGGTGGTAACTCACTTCATTCGTTACCTCTCTACATCTACACTACTAATATTTATATCAAACATAAGTTCTATGTAAAGTTATATGGATACTATTATTCATCCATTCCCTGTTCATTAATTAATCCTTGAATTTCGAAATAATACAGAAAGCAAATATCAAAGAATCCACTTTTCTTACTGTGGAGTTACATACGCATCATCATTTCCGACAAAGAAAGACAGTTTTCCCTCTCTTCCCTATACGGCTGAGGATGGATAGCCTTTTTCTTTCTATCTTTGATTCATTCCTTTGGTACTGATTCTTATGAACTAATGAAATCGAGTCAAATCTGGGAAGAGAACAAGGAGATCTCTGAAAAGGGAAGGCAAGTAAGTAGTAGTCGAAATGTTGAAGAGGAGACAACCCTTCAGACTATGCGCGTCGCGTGCTCGATGACGCAATCTTGGACAATTGTTTTGATTCACTCTCACTAAACTCAAAAAGAAAGAAGAGAAAGAACTTGGAGTTGGGGCCTACATAACAGGTTGCTTGCTTACCAAGCCATCGGTCGTTCGGAAGAGATTGATTCTTTCTCGATCATCTATAGTAGAAAGCAGGTTCCTTCTTTCTATGACGAATTGACTCTCCCGTAAAGAAAGGAATATCTTCTTCTTTCTCTTCGCCCTATGATTTCCTTCCTGTTCACTCTCATTCATCTTGAGTCCCCCTTCTTTCACTTACAAGTCTCATTGGACAAGTGATTGAGCGAAGCTGCTTTAATAGGAGTAAGGAGCGAAGCGAACATCCTTTCATTTGTTTACTGTTCAATCCGGTAATACTGTATAAGGGGATAGAGGCTCCGGTGCTCATCGCAATCCTGCAACCAACCCAGGCAGAAATTTCCCAAGAAGATCTATGGACTGAGTTGGAACTACCTCTGATGCTAGACCACGAACGGCGGCTGTAACTTAAAGATCGACTCCATTTTCACTGAATTGGAAAAAATGATGAAGCAGCACTTCTTGACTGACGGGACAGAGTTTACAGTTCCGGAATAAGAGAAAGAACGGAAGAAGGAGTTAAAGAGAAAGAATCGTTTCGCCTTCACTCTAACGAATCTTGGGAAAGGTCCTCTCAATGCTCTAACGCCCCCACCGGATATGGACCGAACTGTCTCACGCCGTTCTGAACCCAGCTCACGTACCGCTTTCTTTAATGAACAGCCCAACCCTTGTAACATACGCAAGGAATTGCCTTCCTTCTCCTTTGATCCTCTATTCCTTTGCCTTCTTTAACTAACTACTAACTTGGTAAAGCTGCTTGCTTTGCTCCCTTCACTCTGTCTTCGTCTTCTCTCCTTCTTTGTTAGAATTCTCAATCGAAAGAAAGATGAATCCCAGACATAGTATCCTTTCTTTTCTGGAGAAAGCAAGACTTAATAAGCTTTTCCTCACTCGCCCTGCAATAATGCAGTCACCGAAGGAAATGCCACTACGCCTTCGGCATTGGCACTCAGTGGATGGAGCCCTACAGATTGATCAGTCCTGATTTATGTTAACAACAACGAAAACGCTAAGTCGGGCATTCCGACCGAACCCAGGTGGTTTCTTTCTTGGTTACGACCAGCTAAAGATCAAGTTCCAAAAGAGAAAGTTCCATTAAAGAGCCTTTCCCCGGGGTAGAACCTCCTCAGGTAATATAAGGTAAGGTGTGTTTTCATGAGGCTAAGATTGATTCAAGAACAAATTTTAGTTTGATTAAGGACTCCATTATAGAATAAATAAGGCTTATCCGTGGGCTGCTGCTCTGGGGCATCCAATTCCTCTTCTTTCTTTCTTTTCCTGAGGATCTCACATCGAGAGCTGCTTCTTCTTGTTCAGGGTGTGAACATCAGGTTACGGTGAAAGAGTGAAAGAAAGGATCTTGATCAGAGACAGAGCTAAGATTCCCTACAGCGAAAGAAGGCAATGGAAAGAACAGAGAAGAGACCGTAACGAGGAGTGAAATCAGGGTCCGGTGAAAGAAAGGATCTTGATCAGCTAAAGAATAAATAGGTGAAGTAGTGATTGAGTTTACAAGAGAGAGAGTCAATTCAACAATTAGAATAGGTGACGGAGCGAAAGCAACTCGACCGGAGAGGAGTGACCGAAGTCTGCTACCGAAGCGGGCAACCAACCGGAAGTCAAAGGCTTTCGCTCCTCTCCCTCTTTCTTGGTCGAGTGGCTTTCGCTCCTCTCCCTCTTTCTTGGTCGAGTGGCTTTCGCTCCTCTCCCTCGCGGTCTCGCTCTTTCTTTCACCTCTTCGCCGGTCTCAGGGCTTCGCCCCTCTCCAACTATCTGAAGGTCAAGCTCCGGAACAGGAAGTCAAGACTATCGAAGAATCAATTCGACTTAACTGTCAGGAAAGACGAAAGATTCCTTCTTGATCTTCTTTCAAGCTAACCTAACGGGACAGCAAGCAGCAGGCAAGAACAAGATATTATATGAATTACAGGAAGGTCAAGTACCCTCCTAAACTATCAGCTTCTATTCTATAAAGGAACCGGAACCAGGTTTCACTCTTTCATCACAAGCAAGGTAATTCATAAGTTCAGGGATGGAGGATGATTCTTGAACTCTTTTCCTATCCTGTAAACAAGGGAAAGCCGAAACGAAAGACTCACCAAGATTCATTCTCCCTTCTTTCACTGTAAACTCCCTCACTACTGAACCTTGACCTCTCCAACGGTTACGAGAAGAGGGAGTAAGTAGCTCGCCGAGCAAGACTATCGATGCATTCTCTCCCTTCTTTCACCTATTCTATTGATTCTTTAACTGTAAACTGCTGAACCTCCTCTGTCGGTTTCACAATTCCATTGCCTGCACCAGATTGGATTGAACTCCTTTCCCTGTCGGTCAAGCTGCTTCGCTTATTCGCCTCTACAACTCGGTCTCACAATTCCGTCACCTCGCTCGACTGGAAAGGACAGGAGAGGGGCGGGGGCTTCTGCCCATTCACAAGGACTCGATTCTATGGCCAAACATCACATGCCAGCAGATGTAGTCACCATCATTGGTACTCAAGATATTGTGTCTGGAGAGGTAGATAGATAGGACTACTAGTTGCTCGATCAGGGCCCTAGCTTTATTGCGAGCCAAAAACCTCAGCCCCTATAAAGAAAGAAAGAGAAAGCCTCTCGGATAAAGTTCTTGTCGCTAAAGTCGAGAGAGAAGTCTTTCTTGTTATCTGAATGCTTCAGTCTTTTTGTTGGTTTGTTAGAGTTGACTACTTACCCTGTTGTGCCAAAAGGAACTATAAGCGGACTTTGCTGCGAATCTGCTAGCCATTTACCAGTATTTCCTCTTCTGCTTCCGTTTTTGGGTTTCTTCTTCTCCGAAAGGATTAATATTTGGTCTATTCTTTTAGTAATAATGGAACAATTCTATTCTATTCGTAGGAACAAAAAGAAGCGAATTCACCCATTTACCCAGGCAAAGAAGAAATAGGAAAAGATTTTCAGGGAAGGGAGACAAGACTCTTTCACTCTTTTTCCTGTAAAGACTATTTCTGATTTAGTTTATATACTTGCCTGGGATTTGAGTCCGGCCATAATTTACAAGAACATTCTGTAGTCTTAGTAAGAGGGGGAAGGGTTAAGGATTTACCCGGTGTGAGATATCACATTGTTCGAGGAACCCTAGATGCTGTCGGAGTAAAGGAGAGTTTACTGTCTTTGAATCAATGAAGGAGTTAGCTGCTTTGAAAGCCGAACGCAAGACAAGATTCATTCTCCTCAACCAACTCCTTATACTCCGTATTACCTGAGCTACTTACGGCCCCTATATGACCTGATGAATGAAGGAACCTATTTCTTCTTGAACCTATTCATTGTCGGAAGGAAAGATGAAGACGAGTAAACTCCTGAGCTCCTGAACTATTCTTTCACGGGAAGGTGGGCCGCTATCCCGCCTCTTGACCGAAGGGCCAACCCACCTCACACTCCGGCCTTCTCTAATGCGCATATTGAGACTGAGCTTGCTTGCATCTGATCTAAGCCTATCGCCCGCTGGGGGGTTCCCTGAAAGTCTTCAGTTGTCGCTACCCTGGACACAGAATTCCATTTTAGACTATAGCTCCCGGAGAGGTCCTGGTTAAACGAAACCGAGGACATACAGCAAGAGAACGGCATAGAATAGAGCTCTATCCGAATTTGCAACAACTACAAATGAAATACAAAGGAATTGGTAAATTCTATTTAGACTTATGGAGTTTTGTATAGAATATCTATATCAAAACAAAAGTGAGTCCGTTTTGAATGAGAGAGAGAAAGAAGTGTGAGGAATCCTCTTTTCGACTCTGACTCTCCGACTCCGACTCTTTTGCTCTCCCTCCTGTAAGAAGGATGAAGACGACTGATTTCACTCTTTCACTAGGTAAAGCAGCTGGCAAAGGTCAAGCTCATGAGCCTCCCCCTAAACTGGGACATCCAATCATCGATAAGACCAGTAAGCATGCCTCTTGTTTGTTCAAAGCGGGATAATTATCTCTCTTTTTGAATGGAAGAACTCCACCTCTGGCTACCGAAGGCCTTATTGTAGCAGCAGCTCCGTGAAAGACAGTCAGTCAATTTAGCTCTTAATACAGGATCATTCAAATCTGGTTTTTTTGTTATTAGGATAGGTGAATTATTATGGATCCATCCTTTACTCCGACAGCATCTAGGGTTCCTCGAACAATGTGATATCTCACACCGGGTAAATCCTTAACCCTTCCGACAGCGGTTGCTGAATATCAAAAACTTATTACACAAAATCCTATTTTTTTAGAACGAGTTGAGGAGAAGAGAAAGAAAAACGAGTGTTTGAGACTTGCTCGTCAGGAGAGGACTTGACCTGACCTTCTTTCCTGTAATAAATCTTCTTGTTCTTGTCTTGCTAGAGGTTAATGAGCAGCTTGAGCTTGACCACAAAGCTAGCTGAACCGACACTACGTACAAGGTACCTGTGAAAGCCCTGACCGTGGTGGACGCATACACTCGCAACCCAAAAGGAAAGCGAAAGATGCCCCGCCCCTCTCCTGTCCTTTCCAGTCGAGCTGCTTCTTCTAACCTCTCCTGTCCTTTCCAGTCGAGCTGCTTCTTCTAACCTCTCCCTTCCCTACTACTTAACTAATGACCCTGCCCCTGCTGAACCAATGAATGAGCCTGAGTAGTAAGGAAAGAATCAACTCTTTCTTTATTAATGATCTTTCTTTCCCTACTTGACTTATGAACCTTTGACTGATCTAACTCGGTCTCGTGGCTTCACCCCTTTCCCTATCGGTCGAGTGGTTGAACCTCTTCGCCGGTCTCAGGTCTTCGCCCCTTTCCCTATCGGTCGAGTGGTTGAACCCCTTTCTTTACTGTGTTTGGTTGAAGGTGGACTCAATCAAGCAAGATTAATGAGAGGAACTCTTTCACAAGGTAATGCAGAAGGAAAGACGAAACGAAAGAGGAATGAGACAGAACAGAAAGGGAAATAGCAATTTTTTCCTATAGAACGTCTACAAACAAGAGGATTTAATCGGAAATATCGACAGATTCCTGTGTGTGGACCAAATAAATATGAAAATGAAATAAAAAAGATCCACTGTTCTAATTTAATCCTTATCGAATTTGAATATCAGAATAGTGAATATAGTCATGATTCAACGGGCCGCCCTCCGAGGTCGTATCGATTGGTTGAGAGGTCTGAAAGAGAACGTTGTTCTAGGAGGAATGATACCCGGTATAGCTTGGACAGCCTCCTTTCCGGTTAGGCACCCTCCACTGTGCGCACAAGCCGAAGGCGTAGTGGCAATTCCTTCGGTTACTGCTGTATCCTCAGCAAGCAAGAAGAGAAGGTGAAGGAAAGCACAGAGGTCTTTAGACGAGTTCAATCTGGCTTATTCTTCTTGCGTCTTTCCTTTCAGTTTCAGGAGAAAGAACCAAACCAAACACCTATTCCATGTTACCTCGTTCAAGAAGTCATAGTCCGGGCAATAGAATTGAAACAGCTTTACCTTTACCTTGGTTACAGTTCTTCAAGTGATTGAGTTCAGTCGGTTTATTACTTTTCTTTTTCCCTCATAGAGGAAATAAAGTAATGAGATGGTATACGATATGTATCTGTGTACTCGAGCTCCTTCTAGCAGGTTCTAAGGCTAGACAGCAAATAAGCTAGTTTAGTTCCCTCACTGATCCCTGCCAGAACTCTTAGAACAAGGAGGATTCTTTCAAGTTCATTTTGATTCATATTCACATGGGACAATCTTTCGAGTCCTATCTCTACGGGACATGATATCCGGTCGTGAGAGATAGCAAAAGGATGCATCCATTTCTAGGCTAATTGTCTTGTGGATGCTATCCATGAGGTAGTTAGACACGCCACGCCCCTTGCTTGGGGGATTGGGTCTTTTAAAAGGACTCCATCCGCAGCGCACAAAGAAATTCAGGGAAAGGCAATGGAATTCTAAGACCTAAGAAGGAGCGAAAGCTGCTAGACAAACCAAGAGGTGACGGAGTGAAAGAAGGGTGAAGTAGTTACGGTTCAGGGGAAGGAATAGTGCAAGAACGATAAGGAAGGGGAAGGTCAGGTAATCTCAGGGAATATCGTAAGCCGGGAAAGGAGCTTGGCCTTGTTCAATCAGTCAAAGGTTCATGAGCGAATCAGTTTCCCCTTTCTCTTTGGCTCATTAATAGAATAGGAGTAAGTGTAGCTCGACCGAGACCGTAATAGGTTCGGGTTCCGGAGCTCAGCTCGGGTCCATAAGCAGTGACAATTGCCCCATGAAGACTCGCTTTCGCTACGGCTCCGGTGGGTTCCCTTAACCAAGCCACTGCCTATGAGTCGCCGGCTCATTCTTCAACAGGCACGCGGTCACCAACGTCAATCTTTAGATTGATAACATCTTTGCTCTGTAGATCTTCATTCTCTGATATTTTGATCTTTATCCTTGGGCGAAGGATATTCATGATATTAGGTTCGATTTATGTTCTCTCGCTCCCCTATTCTTTATGGTCGAGTAGCTGAGCTTATTCGCCTCTACACCTCGGGCTCATAGCTTCGCTCCTCTCCCCTTCTCGTCGAGTAGCTTCGCTCCTTGATCGCGGAGCGGCATACCGAAAAAGAAAAGAAGAAAAAGCCCATCTTCCGGCTGCATTCAATCCTCAAAAAAGAGGATTTGATTGAGTATCGAGGAGTCAAAGACTTTAAGCCAAAATACCAAATGCAAATGAAAGTGGATCCATTTTTTTTCATTCCCGTTTGTCTGGAAATATACGTACCCATATTTTTCCGCCGCGTCGTGCATTTCGTGTCATTGCCCTTCGTCCCGCTTCGATTTGTCTAGATGTGATCCAAGCGGGTTCAAGTGCTTGAATAGCGTATCTACCGAAGCAAATACGATTGCNATAAAGTATTCTACCTGGTTTAACAACAGCTACCCAATATTCGGGGGATCCTTTCCCTGAACCCATACGTGTTTCTGTGGGTCTTAGTGTAACGGGTTTGTCTGGAAATATACGTACCCATATTTTTCCGCCGCGTCGTGCATTTCGTGTCATTGCCCTTCGTCCCGCTTCGATTTGTCTAGATGTGATCCAAGCGGGTTCAAGTGCTTGAATAGCGTATCTACCGAAGCAAATACGATTGCATGACCTCAAGCTCCTATTGATGAATGAGACTTTACGGGAGAGTCAGCTTAACTCCGGAAGAGTAAGTCAAGACGAAAGATTAACGATCCAGAACTCGCATATTCAATCCTTCAAACACTGTGTAACCTAAGAAAACCCTATCGGTCTCTCACTGCTTGCTTCGCCCCTTTCTTTCCGAACGAGGTAAATAGAATAGGTCTTTGTTCTCCCTCACCTCGTAAACTCGGTTTCACAATTCCATTGCCTGCCCCTCGGCTGATTGATCTGATCCTTTCTTGCTTTCACTCCTTCTTTCACGAGGTAAATAGGTGGGTTCAGTATCTTATCTCTTTTCTTTCACTCATTTGATGATCTTGGCACCGTCTTCGTCTTTGTCTTCTTCTTCTTTCTCCCGGGTCGATTCAACCTGCCATTTCCGGTTCACGAATGGTGCGTATAAGAGATCCTGAATGGTTACGCCTGGAGATACTGAAACCATGTAGTACCACTTGACGTAGTTAAGCCATTGCTGGGCTAAAAAGAAAGTCTCAAGCGGGGCGGGATAATGGAAGGCGGATAAAAAACTGGATTCCGCTACTGACTATGGTACACAACTTTCATTGTTCACACATCACATGTGGATTGGTGGATTTCTCATAGCTAAACTGGCTAGCCTTCTTTCTATTTTGAATGGAAAAGCACACTTCTCTTATTGATACTATTATCCTACCGCCCAGATACTGAGACTAATGGAAAACCCTATACATACTTACTAGCCCCTAAAAAAAGACTACACAGAAAAGAGGTATCGATTGGGCGTAAAGCGTCTGTAGGTGGCTTTTGAAGTCCGCCGAGTGTTGAAAGTCAAGCCGAAACTCCTACTTCTGGAACTCTGTCGGACCAAGAATTAATTGATTCTATCCTATATAGGGGTCAAACCGAAGATGATGTTACGCGGCGTTCAGAACCAGCCTGACCCCTTATCTAGTCTAGTAAGGATCGGGGATTGTCTAAATCAATGGTAATACGGAAGTGGCAGCCGTCCTCTCATATAACAGATAAAGCAGTTCTGCTTGTTCTCTCTTTTCCCGAGTTACATTCAAATCGTGATTTTCAATCAAGTTGGTCGTCGTCACGGAGGAGAGTTCATCCCAAGAACTGCTCAACCTTCTTCAAATAATAAGGGGCTGTCGCTGCCCAAATGCGAAAAAAACTCTTTGAATCAGACTCCATCAACTAGTTAGATTCAGGCTCTTTGGCTCAGTCTTCCATTGCTGGCTATCTGATGTCACAGACCCAGACCAAATCAATAGGAAAATGCAAGAAAAGGGCTGTTTTGAACCGATGACTTATGCCTTACCATAGCGTTACTCTACCACTGAGTGAAAAAGGTAGGGGATAAGCAGCGTCATAAGTAAGCTGGAATAGGAAAAGGAGCTGCATGAGCATGAGAAGAACCTATGTTTGAAGGGAGAATCTAATGAAAGATGAATGAGACAGAACTACTTCAATCACCTTCTGAAAGACTCTCGATTCATTCTCAGTCACCTGATGGAACTGTAACCAAAGCCGAAAGAGAAATTCTCTATCCTTCCTTTTCTTTTTCTTTTCCGATATGACCTGATTCACCTATTTCTTCTTTTTCTTGTCTTTCTCCTGAAACTGACTCAACTCTTTCCAGAGGCGATTAGGCTCAATGAGGATTTGAATAGGAAAGAAAGACGAGCGAGTGCCGTTACTTGGGGGCTTCCAAAAACATCGTAAGCTAAACCCGTGCTGACGAATAACCAACCTGCAATGAGAGCTGTTTCCTGGATCCGAAAGAGAGTACTTGGGTTCTCCCAATAACTAAAAAGTGTATCATGCCTGAATCTAACTGGGGTTCGCGGCTGGCTATCTTATACAAATTTGACTCATCAAAACCAACCGCTTGGAATAATAAAGAAGTAAGTACACCGCGGTCTTGTCCTTCATCCGTGCTTCTTTCTGCGTCCTGATGTCATTTACTGTAATGTCTTCGATTTGCTCCGGTTCGGTGTAACCTTAGGGGGATTATCCTTTTTGCAATGAGTATGTGTTCCGAAGAAAAGTTGTTCATTTTTCGGGGTCTGGGCGTGGAAACACATCAAAACTCTGGAATGGAAATAGAAAAGAGATCTCACTCCAGTCTCCTGAACCTTAGCAGCAGCTGAAAGAAAAGAAATTCTATCTACATATAACTGTCAAAGTTCGTAAGACCTTTTTCCCTAAGGAAAGCATAGGAAAGAAAATCAATTCTATCCACGGGTCAAACGAACCGATGACTTCCGCCACGTCAAGGCGACACTCTACCGCTGAGTTATATAGACTCTGTCTCCCAAAGATCATCCATTATTTTGACTAACTTATCCATTCCTTTTTTTGTGGATTACTCTCTTCTTCCCTCTTCAGAGTCAAAAAATCTTGATTGAACTTCTAGCATAGTAGTAAGGTAAGCATTGACTTTCTTTCTTTTTTTCTTCTTGGCTGGTTCTGAACGCTCATTCCATGGATCTTTATGGAGTTTCCGGGCTTTGAGTCCAAGAAGTTGGTAAAGGATTCTGATTGTCAGCTTTTCTTATCTTCTAAGAATTCCAGTTGATAATAGAATAATAATAATCAGAGAAGGACCCTTCCGGCGACAGGAGTGAGGTTCCGGCACTCTCATTCTAGAACTGTAAAGAAAGCAGAATGCAGCTCTCTCTTTTCGTCAGGTGTAGGTTCAGGATAATGACATTAATAGGAAAGGGCCGAAGGCTCCATCATCCACATCTCATATGCCAGGGGGTCCCATTCGTCATGTGCCGGCGTCTCGCTTCTCTTCGCCCCCTCACCTCGTAAACTCGGTTGAACAATTCCATTGCTGGAAAATAGTTCAACTCTAGTCCCTGACGAGGGCGTAGACCCGTAAATGCATATATTCTGTGGGATTAATCTTTCTCTTTTTACACCGCATATGAAATTCGCCAAACGGTTTAGTTTAGATCTGGTAAATTCCACCAAGTATACAAATGTAACCTAACTAACCATACATGCCCCAACTAACTCGTTGTCCCACCTAACAGATGATGAGATTCTCGATCGATTTGAGAGAATTTGTAAAAGTCTTTCTCACTATTCATTCTATTCGAGATAGGGTGGAGCTTTCGATCAAGATGTGCAATTGAACCTTTGGGGGATGTAAAGAGGTCTTTCTTTGGTTCTTTCTCCGATTCCTCTTCTGTCTTGAACTGGCAGGCTGGCTTTCTTGCTTGCTTTCACTCCTTATGAATGATCGTGAACTGTAAGGAAAGACTAAAGCGTAGACTCCTTGGCCTATATATAATTATAATAGGATGAGTTTAGCAATCCTTCGTCGAGCCTTCGGTTTAAAGCTCTTCTTCTTCTTCTTTCACTGAAAACTAAGACTCAAGACTCAACTCAAGCCTTATTCATTCTCCGGGGGCAAGGCTCTATTATGTGGAATAAAAACACACAATTGGACCACCTCTCATCGAAAATCAAACACTCAATATCAGCACCTCGAGGTTTTCTTTCTTGTCTTCCATGAGACTCGAGATATTCCTCACTCCATGGCATGGCACCTTTCGCTCATCCAGCTAGCTTTAATCTACGTTATGACTGATTGAACGAGGTAAATAGGCAGGCTTCTCTCCTGGACTGATTGAACGAGGTAAACTTCCCTAGACAAAGAAAGAAGATGATCGTAACCCTCCAGTGGACTGATTTCACTTGGCTCGCAATAAAGCTAGGGCCCTGATCGAGCAACTAGTAGTCCTATCTATCTACCTTCTTTGCTCTTTTAGCTTCTCAAACAAACTCTCGCTCGGAGGACTATAGATAGATGTAAGGTCCGATACGGTTCTTATCGTCTGTTGTTCCTCTCTATCCTAGTGCTTATAGAGTACAAGAGTGAAATAGTAGCTTGACTGTCATGTCTCATTCTGCTCATACAGCTTACCTAGTTCCCTTAAGTAAGAGTTCTTCAATAGGATTGATCTCTAATAATGTAGTTAAGATGATATCATATCGGGTCAGGGGCAGGCAGGGGTTCCCTTTCGTCTTGACTTACGACAATGAACAGACCTACAAGAAATAGGAGAATTGTCCTTTATGACCCTGGCCTGTAAATGGACCTTGATCAGCCTGTGGATAGAATCTTCAATGAGTAGAAAGAAGCAACCTGACTAATAAAGGTGCTTGTTGAGTAAGGCACGAAACCTCAAACCTTTTCCTTCAAACAAAGACTCGGTAAACTCAATCACTTGAAGAACTGTAAACACTCCTTAGGGCAGGGTCAACGATCACTCACGTCACGGGCAGCACGACGAGCTCAACTTCCATTGAAAAGTTCCCGGGCCTTGTACACACCGCCCGTCACACTATGGGAGAGTAGCGAGCTGCACGGAACGATCATTAATCAAAGGGGGCTTCCCAACAAAGGAAATCAAAAGACGTATACTTAGGATTGATTGGGCTTCCTGATCCTTGTCGATCTTCTACTTCTAAGTCGGCTATCCATTCCAGTGTGGTTGAATTCTGTTCAACAGCCTTCAAGAGAAGCTCCTATCGAAGTTCACTATGAATCTTTGGGTACCCATCATGAGATTTACGGGTACCTTCTCTCTCTTTTGGATAATTTGGAAAATCTCCAATTACTAATCCTTTGTATATCTTGGTGTTTCTAACCATCCACTCATTTGTGAATGAATTTCTTCTTGGTACTCGTTGAAGAATCTAGCGCGGCCATCATCTTGTCGGGTCTGAGCTGCCTGCGGTTACAGAATCGACCAGCCCCCGTTCTAGATTACATACATTGGAATGGAACTTATTGGAAAAGGTAAGACAGGAAAGTCCTTCGGTGACTGCATTATTGCAGGGCGAGTGAGGAAAAGCTCATCAAGGAAGGACTCAACTCTTTCTTTATTAATTAAAGCATATTCAGGTTTCCATTGAGTCATAGTCAGTGAAGGCAAAGTGAATCTCCGAAAACCAGAAAGATTCTATTTCCTCTATAGAGCTTCCCCTGCCTGGCCTGCCTGAAGCTTGTCTCTTTGTTTGTCTGAGTTGTAAGTCTTTGTTTGAAGGTGGACTCTGTGAAATCATTCATAGTAGCCGATATCGAGACTATATATCTTGATGACATTCATAAGCCTTATGCTGCTTCCGGAAGCGGGCAAGATCGAGCTATTTCGTTGGATCGAACCTCGGTATAAGCAATGGAAGCCTCAATGAACTCTCCAATAGTGCCCTGCGGGGCCGGACAGTCGAGTAACCGCGCTCTCAGAGAACGAAAGACTCCCTGCCTATACTACAAAAGTTGGTTCTGGCCGGGGACCCCGGTATACTGTACTAATATGTGTAGGTCAAGGAAGGTCTTCCCACGTAGTTCGTCGGTCAAACCAACTCGATTCTCCTCTCAAAGGAATAGAGAGATCTTTTTCTAGTTAGACTTCTATCAATGCGATTCTACAATAGGCGGCCGCTACCCGACTTAGCGAATCACTTCCAGGCTGGCATTAAATCGACTTTTAATGCATGTATTTAATTTATTCGGAGCTATTAGAGCGGCCGGGCGGGAGGTGAAGGCCATAAGAGAAGATTCCCCGGAAGAGAAGAAAAGGGTGTTGTCATCGAGATGCTCTTTCAGATGTGAGAGGGAGGAGACTCGACTTGAGCCCCAAAACTAGGTTGGTTGGGGAAATCTTCATTACATTATATAAAGAGGTGAAAAGCAATCAAAGCAGTATCCAAAACCGGGATGCCAGAGCTCAACAAAGGAAGGAGCTTGCAGAATTTGCTTAATAATGCAATATTACCCTCAAAACTTCTTGAAAGAAAGAGGCTTTCCATATATTAATAATTTTTAATTTTGTTAGTTGTTTGTTGGGAAAGCCTCTTTCTTTCAAGAAGTTTTGAGGGTAATATTGCATTATTAAGCAAATTCTGCAAGCTCCTTCCTTTGTTGAGCTCTGGCATCCCGCTCTTCGAGATCTTTCATTGGCTCTTCTTTTCAGTCAAGAAAAAATAGCGATTGACTTTGATTCAAGATATCTCCTAAATCGGACTTTTTGAATCGAATATTACTGAAGAGTCCCGTCTGAACTGTGGAATCGAAAGACAAACGAATAACTTCAAAGACTGGATCTGCAGATCTACGTGTATTACAAAATGCCACAAACAACCTTTTTCGTTTTGGTTGAGGAAAAGGAAGAAACCCCAGCGACCAAGCACTTCTGCCCCCGTCAGTAGTTAAAGAGAATGAAATGATAGATAGTTTACGGGGGGTTCAAAAATGATCTTGGAGATTGTGTAATGCTTACTCTAAAACTATTTGTTTATACAGTAGTAATATTCTTTGTTTCTCTCTTCATTTTCGGATTCCATGAGTGTTCCATTTCATTCACCCATTATATTGGTTGAACAATTCCATTTCATTCACCTATTTATGAAGGAACAGTAAACACTCCTTATTCATGATCCTGAACTGTCAGGAAAGACTAAAGCAGCAAGAAAGAGTAAACACTCTCGAAGAATGCTAATTCCATTGATTAGAGAACTGTAAACTAGGATAGGTTCAAGAGTTCCGTTCGTTCCGTCTCATTCATCTGGCTTCAGTCTTGATCCTTATGATTTCGGCCGGCTTTAGAGGGTCTTATTGAGGCGGGGTAGCTAGGAGGGGTATGCAGAGATGTAGCTACGGGATGGTGTGAGCGGTGGATGGATTTGAATAGGCATTTCTTTCTTATTCGTATAGATTCAGAGAAAGAAGTATGTATTACATCAATGTAAATTCGTTCTTAAGAGAACAAAGAAGGTGAATGAGCTACGCAACTCGACCATAAAGAATAGGTTGATGAGCTTGAGCTTCTCTTTCTTGTTCTTAGTGCTTGCTTTACCGAGGCTGTAGGTAGTAGAAGGGATAGTAGACCCGAGAGCAGCTAGTATTATAGCACACCAGCCCTCAGACAAGAGACCATACATTAACTATGGCAAGAACATTCAATGGTCTGCCTCATCAAAGAAGGAAGCTATCGACCACTGTCTTCTAGAAAGAGTATAAATAACATCGCCAAAAGTCAATCAACGAGGTAAGAAAGGGATATGAAATTCTTCCTGCTTTGAAAGCCGAAACGATGAATGAGACTGATTTCACTCTTTCACAAGGTAAAGCGACTGAGCCTGACCCTTTTCCTCGTCTTCGCCCCTCTCGTGAACTAGAGTGAAATCCGGTTCATGAGTTTACAGTTCAAGAAAAGGAATGAATTGAATCAGGAAAAGGTGAAGACAGGAGAAAAGAAAGAATCCGATCTCTTCCATCTCTGCCTCGCTCGTTCTCACCTATCTTGGTTGAAGAAAGGTTTGTAACCCTGTGTAGAGAATGAAGAGGGGCCAAGCATCTTCCTCTCAACAGTGCTTCTTGAGGCTCCACTCTCCCCGTAAGGCCCCGTTGTTAGCCTGGGCGAGGGGATAAGGAATAAGGATTGATGAAACCCACTTCCTGAGCTGAAAAAGCTATGACAAGGTTTTACCCCTATGGTGGATAGAATCAATTAATTAATGGTCTTTACTGGTTCCGGAATAAGGAGTAGAGTCTTTGTCTTTCTTCTCCCTGAATTTATTCAAAGACTGTAAACTCTCTTTCCTCTTTCGGCTTTGTTTACAGGGAATATTGGGTCAGGGGCAGGAGCGAAGCCACTCTCATTCATCTTTCTTACTTACAGGGCTTCCTTATGAAAACATCAATTTGTCTTTGGGTATAGACGGTATCTCTTTATTCTTCGTGATATTGACCATAGTCTCTTACCATAAAAATGGCTGCATGCGCGGCAGCACCAACTATGAGAAATCCACCAATCCACATGTGATGTGTGAACAATGAAAGGTAAGTCGTTCGTAGATCCATGTGATTTACTAGTGCATTCGATTTGCATTGGGTTAGGGCCTTACAAAAATATAGTATTCTGCCTTACAAAAATAGAGGATTTCCCAGAACAAAAACAAGTTATGGCAAGACTTAAGATTGTGTGCTATATCACGCTTGTTATTATCATTATCATCCATGGGACGGTAAAGACGATGACAATGGACCAGGTGCCGTAGCTAACCGAGTAGCTCTAGAAGGATGTGTACAAGCTCGTAATGAGGGACGTGATCTTGCTCGTGAGGGTGAATTATCGGTGAGGCTAGTAACTGGAGTCCTGAACTAGCTGCTGCTTGTGAAGTATGGAAGGCGATCAAATTCTAATTTGAGTAGAGACTTTGTAAGGCAGGAATGACTGACTCTTCGTTCTTTTCATTGGCTGTTCCCCTTTGTCAACTTAGCTACTTAATACTCAATACTAAAGTCAAGGCGTCATTCTGTCTGAGCTGTAAGGAGGCAAGCAAATTCAGGGGGAGGCATTAGGGGCCGACTACAAGAAGCAAAGCTTCGTAGACTCGACAAGTCGCTTATAGAATGCCGACTACTATACGTCGTGTTCAGACTTTCCACTTCATTGAAGAAGGGAGGGAAGCGAAGGTTCAAATCCTACAGAGCGTGATTCCTGAACGAGGTAAAGCAGCTTCAATTCCATTGCCTAGACTATTACTGATTGATTGAACAAAACAAGGTAAATAGGCTGGATGAGAATCAGGTCAAGCTCCGGAACCTATTGAGAGATTCATATAGGTTCAGGTTCCTTCTTTCATGAATTTACTCTTTCCCTTCAACCGCTGCTCAGTCTGATTCATCTTGTCCTGGTTTCGTCTTCAATCAATTCTCTTTTCTCGGTTCCGCGGGCAGGGGCTTAGCTTCTTCTCTTTCTTTCATTCATTCTCTTCTTACCCATACTAACTGAACTACTATTAACTACTAATACATTACATATTCTTTTTCCTGTACTTTAAAAGGACACGCTATCAAAAGATAAAAAGACCTGTTTATGAAACTTCTTACCCTCCGGATGGAAATAAAGAAAATGACAAAATGCTGTTAGATTTAGATCCAGACGAAAAAGATATCTTCTGGTTTGAAAAACCTCTTGTGGAACTAGGGGAGGGAAGAGAGTCTCGTATTCCGGTCAGAGAATATCACAGCTAAGGTTACAGAGCAGGAGGCAAGGAAGTCCCGTCCGGGAACTGCTGGCTGTCGACGAGGAGGAGTCCACTAGCGATGCCAGCTTCTGAAAGATTATATGATTTGAAT